TTGACTCACTTCCGGGAGTACTTTTCTGTAAACAACCCTGATAATCTTGCTCACATCCGGGAGCTACCATTTCAATCACATCCACATCCGGTGGGAACCTTAAAATGCGTTCAAAACTATAGCCTGGATTTTCTTCCAGATATCTATTACAAAAAGGTGCGACACTTTCATGGTTAGTAGGAATATATTATATGAACCCTTTGCATTCTCATTTTCAAGAACTGACCGATTTTCTTTTGATATATAACCCCCGTATCCGACGGAGCTTGCATCGGTTGTCATACTCAAACTAGATGTAAAACATTTCTTTATGTGCGTACCTTTTGTATTCAAAATGCGTGCATTATCTAGCCAAAAATGCAGCTCATTTAAAGCTTTCTCACTTACCTTAACAGAAGTATTCCAACTTGCACGTGCTATAATACACTTGTATAGATACCTGGTTCTCCGACAGACTATCTTTCCTACAACGCTTTGAAGAGAAATTATTGCCCTACAACGGCAGCTAAACACTTAACGTGTAACAAATCTAAATCATCTCTTGATAATTGAAAAATGACTGATCTTAATGACAATTCTGAACGAGCAATTCTTTCTTCTGCAATAAACATACAATTTGTGTTATAATCAATTGTATGACCCAACCAAGACACTAATCTTGATGGAGACCAACAACACTTATTATCAGCAAGCAAAAACCCGAATTCGAGCAAAGAACTTTGGAAAAAATGACTAGATATTTTTTCCTTTTCGTATTCAGTGTGACCACCTACTCCATCATCTAAAAACATGATAACTTTATGACCCAAAGATCTCCAATATTTAATGATAACCCGAAATGTTTTTGTAAATATATGCCCGGCGGTGGATATTCCGAATGGCAATGAGTTATATACATAATATTTTTCAATCCCATTTTCAATATAACAAAAACCTAAATATTTAGTATGTTCCGGAAAAAATATCTATGTGATGGTAAGCACTCTTTAAATCGAAAGAGTAAACAAATGTATTGAGGTCAAACATATTTTCTGCAGTGTTAATATCCTCAAATTTTATCTTAAATTTATGTAAGCAAGGATTAATATGCCTGCAATCTAACACTAACCTAGGTTTACCCACTTTATTGTAAGCCACTGTTAATGGGTTTATAACATAGGGCCTCTCTGTTACCTCAGAGATCACACTTTTTTCTAAAAGAGACTTTATCTCAGATTTAACGAAACATTCGTTTTCCCTTGCCGATTTGTTGTTTTTCAGATACACTTTTTGCGGCATATAACTAAACGGTAATTTGTAGCCATTTTTAACAACGTCCAAAATAAATACATTTTTAGACACATTTTCCCACTTACCAAAATTCTGCTTTAACCTGCCAACTGGGGAAATAGGATTATCTTTACCTTTTGACCCCGATACGTTTTCTCCATTATTTACTTGAGCACCCGTACATGATTCATTTTTACTTACTTCCATCCTTCCCAAACATGCCATATCTACATGCTCATCTGTGCCTAAGACTGACTGTGAAGTCTCTAAAATATCAAAATTACAAATACTTAACTTATTGTTCTGATAAGAACTGTTCTGTCCACATTCGTTTTTCCAGTGACCGGCTTTGCCACACAAGAAACACAATCCTGGCCTTTGTCTTGTGCCCTGTTGAGTCTGTGATGACGATCCTGGAGTCTCCGGACGTCTATACGGCCAGCTGCTTTTTCTCGCCTTTTTTGTTTTGTCTGCCTTAGCCTTCCTGCTAGCACGTGCCTCAGCCTTGAAAATCCGCCTCTCATCATCGCTGTCACTAGCGATAGGGTTGGTTTCGTATTTGTTCACCGTTTTCCAGCCCAAATCTGAAGTGTCGGCAAGCAACACCAGTTTTTGCCGTCTTTTCAATAACTCCCATGCTTGAATAATAGAATCTTTAGCAGACGATTAATCCTGTGTTTCTACGGCTGCTTGAGCGACTGCTAATTTGTCAATAACCTTTGCATTCTTCATTACTTTTACGTTTAAATTTTGGCACGTTCAAAATTGAAATAGCAGAAGAAGGTTTGTCACTTATCTTCGAAAGCATGTTACTTATGCTTCCCAAAAGCTCCTAGTTGTTTGCTTTTACAACCTCTTTAACTTTCTCCTCAATAAACCCCGACATCTCCGCTCTATTCATGGCTGCTCAAAATTGTCCTTCACAATCGAAACCGAGCGTAGAACTGATTTCCACGAGCATTTTTGCCGCCTAAAACCACATGACTAATCACTGATCACGTGATATACGCATCAGTGATCCGCGCACTAGTTTATGTGCGACATAACGTTGAGACATACGTTCTGCGGCTATACTACGTAACGCGCAGAACTTAAAATTCCATATATGGCTACTTTGGTACCATATATTGAATAATTGGTATCATATAATGTAATAACCAACTTATATATTTCTACTTTGGTTTCATAAATTGATACATTAATAATAATAATAATAAATACCACATTTATATAGCGCCCTTTTCATTAAAATGTTCAAAGGCGCTTTACATCAATCATATATGTCTAAAACAATATAAATGAACAGGATTATGAACATTAAAAATATTTTGCATTAACTAATTAAAAGTATAAATTATGGAATTATTACATATTAATACAATATAACTTAAAGATCCTTAAAACTCACTTTACAATATTATTGTCATACATTGGTTTCATATATTGAAAAATGAATTAATATATTATTAATTCGGTTTCATATAAGGACATCTGGTTCCATAAATGGCTACTTTGGTACAATATATTGAAGAATTGGAATCATATATTGAGAAAATCAACTTATATATTGCTAACTCGGTTTCATACACTGACGGTATGGTTTCATATATTGTGACTGTGGATTAATATAATGGATTCCGGGGATCACTTTGTTTCCAGAATTTTGTACTTCACAACAGCAGGTGTCAAGTGCCGTGTGGCAGCCGTAAAAAGTTGCCCCGTACTTCACTTCAGTGTTGTTATATTTTCTGGTCCTTCGGGATCATTGATGCCAGCACTATAAAGTGTTGAGAATTGAGTACCGCTCAAGCCGGTGCTAGGGGGCGTGAGGGATGTTGCACTTATTCATTATCCCTTATGTACAGACTCAATTAAACCGAGTCTGCAATTCTTATGTTATTTTGTTGTGATTAATGCTTCCGAGGGATCACTTTGTTTCCAGAATCCGGTTAGATAAGAAGGTGTTTTCAATTCATATATAGTCGAAGTGAACTTATATATTATCCAAATGGTGAAATAAATTGAAAAAGAACAATATCAGACAGCCATGGCTTTCCATAGTTTTTTAATATATTAAACTGAATGCGTTACCTCGCATAACCTATATGTACTAGTAAGGGAAATGGTATAGACCTTTTTACAATACGATTCTTCCATAACAACCAATGTTGCCTTTCGCGCATGCGCATTCTGCGTAGGGCAAATGCTCCATAAAATTGACAACAGTGTATGATACTTTAAGGCCATCCATGTTATATCAACCAGAAAACAGTAAATTTGGGATGACTTAAAGCGGTAAGTACTTAAAACGTCAATTGATATTTATAACAGATATAATAAATATGCAGGACTAATAATCCAATATACAAAAGACGTCTGTTTAAGGTATCATTAGACGACTTTTTCATTCGTAATTTAAATTTAAACAGCAGGGTGTTAAAAATTAAATTTTATTACCCCTGTATTACATAATATTTCACAATGTGTATTGTACACTTCCTTTGGATTTGCCAGGCGGTGTCAAACAGATTGTCAGGCGACCATTGTTGTTTGTTTCAAGCTAGATATTGTATAAATATCATTCAACCGGGCGTTTTAGAACCATGACATATTTAATCACGTACAATTATGAAAATCGTAATTAAAGTAACTTTTGTATAAACCGATCTCATCAATGTTTATTGATTTGTGAAGTGACAATTAGCGTGACTTGCATTAAAAAATATTCACATGTGTTACGAGGAACCGGATAAAATGAGTGTTATTTCACTTTCCGTAAAGATTTTTTTAAAAACAATTAACTATTTAAATTATATTTATGTGACTTAAAAATCATCTGTTTTGCATCACAGTCAAATAAAGGATAAAATCAGGTAAACTGAACACTAAAAATGCATTATCACCGGGCCTGTTCTGACTATTTTCAGAATGCTAATTAACCTCGATTTCATATGTTATACAATTTCTTTTATCTTTTTTATGAACTATTTCAACAACAATTTTGTTGACTCCCATTTGAATAAAAGATATAATTAAAAAATCTCAATGTCAGGTCTGTGACCGTAAGCGGGGAATTCTTAAACAATTTCCTTTTCCATGCCTTTTTTGGCAATCTGTCTTAGTCACAAAGCTATAAAGGAATCTTTTCTATATTTGTTTAAGGCTATTTTATATAATTTTCTACCTTTTACCTTAAACTTACTCGGAATTGTCTAGGAACTTCTTCTATATGTCTATGTTAGACTATGCATTTTTTGCCCTACGCAGTTTGCGCATTTGCGGGGAAATACTACTTCCGGTCGATTTTTCATAGCAACGGACCGCGTCGTAAAAAGGTCTATATCACTTTGTCTATACATATCTTAGTTTGATTGTGTAGGAAGATTTTTGCTTATAAACACACTCTCGAATCTGTTCCTAGAAGCAACCAGTACAGAGCAATGAATGTAAAGTCTCTTGCTAAGGAATCACCGGCTGCCCCCTGACGAGGTATGAACCATGCGGATAGCAATCCTAAGATTACTAGTCTGTTTCTCGTTTATAACTAGAAAAAAATTGTGACGTTAGATGTAACAATCCGAGCTGTGATTTTTTTGCCAACTTGACAGTTTATTCTTGTTTTTATGAAAATTGAAAAAATAACAATGCTTGGCCTATTCCACAGGACCATCTCAACGAAACAAAACTGAAGAAAAAAAACACACACATAAAACAACAACATTGGATTGAGTCTTTTATTATTAGTAAAACTCTATTCAACAAAAAATACTGCATGTTAATTTTCAGAGGCAATTCCTGGAAAAGTAACTAAAGGCCGAATTTGCGTCATAAGAACTTGAATGCGTAAGTGGTGATCCTGATTTCAGTTTACAACGGGAATAAGCGTAATTAAAACCGAGACAAAGAACGTCTGTTGTTGTGGTACATAAATCCATACACTCCGATATTGTGATGGACAAAGCTCCATCAGATGTCAAGTCGGCTGTATACAGGCCAAATCCGACATATTCAATAAATGTAGTACCATATTCTGAGCATGCTGAAAATTTAAAATATCGCATGAAATTCAAACTGATGTTTTTTGTACATTCGTGAACGAACAATAGGATGTGAAATCGCTTACAGTACAATAAACAGAAATTTTGTATAAACTTTTTAAAGAAGAAAATTTCTGATATTGTTTGTGCTTTTAATCAAAAATATAAACAGCTTGGTACCTACGATGCCAAGACAGTCTTTTTAGGTCCGATTTAACGCCCACTTACACCGGTTTAGCATAATTTAACATTTAATCATGTAAATGGTGAAATTATTAATTTAGAAACATCCAGAGATGTGTTCATATGGCGCTTTCCAATTATATACTTTCGTAAATTCCATAAAAGTGGTGTATGGTCCCCAGCGTAAAACGAGAAAACAAGGGGAAGAACTAAACCTAATGCCCAGGGAATTATGAAATTGAATAAGAGATTATCACAGATAGGACGCAAAAATAATTAAATCTATAAACTTACTTTCAACACACATCCCGGTTGCTGTTTCATGTCTGTAGCCAGCTTCACATGTACACACACCACCTAGACATATGCTGTAATTAATTGTACACTCACTATTAGAAGAGCAAGCATTACCATATTGACTCTCTTTATTGGTATTTGCAGAGGTCGTCGAGGATGGAGTGGTAGAAGCGGTAGACGATGTAGTAATGGCAGAAGTGCTTGTCATTACACCTGAAATTGATTTAATTCTAACATTATTTTCTGAAGTTTTATTATGAGGAAAATGTGCAACAATCTCGAGTCGATTTCATTAGACAAACCTGTACTGGTGTCAACAAAAGGAAGGATCTTTGTATGACTCCTACTCCATACGAGATAAGGTCACGGGCTTCGTAGGGCTTGTACTATATACGCCATGCAATGAGTAGCATAGTCTTTGAAAAATAAATACTGGAAATAATAAAGTAACATAAGGTAACATGCAATTTTATAATTCAACTACATGTTTTGTAAACACTAGTCCGAATAGACTTTTTTCATAGACTGCACATGTATTGAAGTTGAGCCAAAACTAAATTGTACAAATACCTGTTTTCACTGTAACAGAATTTAAAAGTATGATTATAATTACAGTTAAGTTCATAAGAAGAAATCTAATGAAGATTTTATCAACAAAATATGTCAAATTATCATTTTTATTCAACTCTTAAAGTTTAATATTCCATATAATTATACGAAGTTCAATATATATGTTGCAAAGTATATTATACGTAGTTACACAATATTTGGTATTATGAGGACTGCTTTCAGCAATACAAAGTTAAATTTTTCATTATATTTTCTGGTGAAAATGACAAAACTAAACATATAAAATTCTAAAGTATCAAATATTATATTATATCATATTATGAAATAAAAAAACACGAAAAAACAATTTACCTATGTTTCGATAATATTCATTTCCGGGTAAACTATAACAGTCAACAACATCCGATAGTATCTCCTCTGTACCTATGCAATGCATATCTTGCTTGTTATAGAAGAAGCTTTTGCAGATTGTAGACCTTTGGCACATGGCTGCGCACCTTGTCGCCTTTTTATGTAATCCGTATTCTAGATTAGCCAGCGGACACATCATATCTTTATACACATCATCTTTGACGAATAAGTTTACGTCAATAAGAACTACTGTTGGTAAAATAAAGTAAACCATTAGTAAAACACTTTGTATCATCATGTTCTTACTTTGACTGTTTCAGATGCTTGAAAATATGTATTATCCGTACAAAAATGACAACGGGTTTAGCTTCATAAACCTCTAAGCAAGTGTCACAGAGTAGTTCGACCTAACATACCAAGTATCATATTTAGAAGGCATTTGTAGCCATTTTACTTTTGAGCTAAACTTTTTAATGTCGGCAAAAAGCATTGAAAAATAAAACTGCTTTATTTTGCAGGCATCCAATCTGACCTGAAAGTACAAAATTCGTGCCGAGGGATGGTGAATATTCCAGACTAGTTGGAAGGGAGGATTAGATTTTACTCTTGATATAAAAAGATGATATAAATATCTTGAGAGTTGTATTGAAATACTGTGTTAATGCAAAACTTGGAACGTTTTTATTCAGCAAATATTTAATGACAAACATCCATACAATGACTCTTATACATTGTCGGGTAAATGTTCATACAAAAATCGTTTCAATCGTGCAATATGCATTATTTATTTTCCTGTATCATTTCCGGATAAATAGTTATATGTGCTCTTGTGTTCCGTCGTAATGCTGCGACCAGGAAATGTTATAACAATGTGGGGGATGTTTAAGGTTAGATAAGTGGTCTATGAATAGAAATGAAACAGGAAGTGTGAAATATATAAACAGTCATAGTAAATAATAAGCATTATTATCATTATTGTACAATGAAACATCAACTAGAAGGGAATATTTGCTTATGTGACACGTTACAATGTACCTATTTTAAACGTTTATCCTATTTTCTAATCGAGAGAGAAGAGCCTTTACCTTGTTTACAATTCTCACACGTTGCTCCTCTTTAGGAATAAAAAAATCATATATCAACTATGGACTATAATATCCATAAATAGAGATCAGCTATTCAATAATAAAATCATTTAAAAACATGTGAAGCGTAGCACTTCCACGGGACCTTGACGTCATTTTTGCCAACCTTTCCATGACATAATTTTCACATCACTCACTTTGAAAGGGAACAGAGCCATAAGTATTTAATGTTTGCACCAATTTCTTTGCGCTTGTCAACGGGGAAACTAGAGCTTTTCAAAGAATATTGGATCTCCTTTAGTAGTTGAGTCGTTTTATCAAATACTTTGCAAACCCTTTAAAGATGTTAGTGAACGAGCGACGTACAGTTGCAAGATACTTCCATTCCTTGCATACTCTGATTCATGCAATGATTGAAAGGTCAGTCTTACATCAATCTGTAATATCGAAGAAATGTTTTATCTAAATGTTTTATATCGTTAAATTTATAGCGTAAATCTGTGCACAGAACAGCGCAAGATAGTTTATCATTTTTATTGCAGAGTGATTCTCTTATGTTTGGAAACTATGAAGTAACAGACAGTGAAATCAGGGCTGTTCGAATTTGTGCATTGATTTTTGTGAGCGCAGCTCGGTGACAGGTTAAACATCAAATTCTCTCGTTGTATACTAATTAAATGTGCATCCAGCAATTGAATAATAAATGATAAAAAAAACTGGGGAGAAAAATGGAAATCTCAAAACAACAATAAAAATAGCTTTCATCGTTTTTTTTTAAAAATTTATTGGCAAACATCTTACAAGTCCTATTGACATAACACTCCCCAATTCTTCAAACTACAGAAATAGAATAATTAAAGTCTGGAATACTTAATATACATATAATAATGATGTATAGAAATAATGACCAACTTATCAAGAGAAGGACATGTATGATAAACTACATAACATTATAAAAGAATATTTCATAAAGACTTTTAAACAGACAAAGTGGGCAACTTTGCATAATACTCGTACATTTCGTTTTTTTAAAGGAATTATCGGCATTTTTATTTTGAACTTAATTCAGTAAAACATAAAATGAAAGAGAAAACCCAAATTCTTTGACTATTAGCTAGTTTGATCGCCGCAAATAGTATAAACATATCTTCCATAAACTGTTGAATATGTTAGTTCCAATATTGTTTTTGCACTGTTACTGGTAGCACGTATAACTCTGCAATTCCATGCTTTAGGTTTAACTTAGAACTATCTTGATCCTTGGATAATACTTGTTGAAACAGATAACCTCTGACTTTCTTATTTGTAAATTGTAAAACGAGCTTACTACAATATATTTCTATGGTATCAAGTTCGTTTATATTAATGTATTATTGTTTGCAGATAACATGTTAGAAATTCAAAAGAAAATCTTCAACTTAGTCAATTGTGTTAAATGTTTTGAGTACTAAATTGCAGATAACATGTTAGAAATTCATAAGAAAAACTTCAACTTAGTCAGTGGTGTTAAATGTTTTGAGTACTAAAATCAATTTTAAGAAACCTAAAGAAATGATATTCGAAAATAGCATTTGACCTCATACGCTCACACGACAATTAAAGTAGTAAAATGTTTCAAATACATGCGTTTACAGTTATTCAGCAATGGTAGTTTTCATATAAAAACCAAAGTATAGCATTCCTCGTTATCATAATATAGGCTTTTTCCAAATATTTGACAAAACAACATACCCCGCCAAGATAAAACTCTTCAAAATATCAAAATGAAACTGTTGTTTTTTGATATAGAGCATACACCCAGCATTAGTAATTTTATTTAAACGTATCAGGTTTGAACGAATTTGCTAACAGTAATTCACAAACATATCTTGCAGCCCTTTAAATATAGAATGGTCGTGCTCAATGTAAGAAATGCGAAACAACAATATGGCAATATATATTGGAAAAACTGTTATAATAAATATCGTCAAAATGTAGTAATACATAATAAAACAAGGAGATGAAACAATTACCTAATGTACAAAATCTGAGTATCCAAAATAAAATTCATTTTTGATGAACACGACTTGGGCCATTGAGTCCAGCAATTTAAGTGTTGAGAATCGAATACCGCTCATCCATCATACACGCCTTGCAGCGCTTTTGAGAATTCAGTACCGTTAAGCCGGTGCTAGAGGGCGTGAGGGATGTTGCACTTTTTCATTATCCCTCATGTACTGACTCAATCAAACCGAATATGCAATTTTCATGTAATTTTGCTGTTTTTTATGCTTCCGAGGGATCATTATTGTTATTGGGACATGTTAAGCTTTTTTTAAAAAAAACATTATACTTAGTCTAGTACAATAATCATTGATAATCATTACAAAAACTTGTTATACATAAGTTAAAAAGAAAAAAATATGTAATTAATTTCAAAGACATGTATTCAAAGATTGGTATACTACACAATCGACTCTGGCAACGGGGTGAAACACAAACACATTTCAAAGTGACCATCTATGTAAATCAAACATGCAATTAATTGAATATGAATACTATTCCAAACATACAGCCTTGTTAGGAGGTTAAACGTTATTTTATTTATTGTTGCTGAATATAAAAAATATATAAGTTCTTCAGCATCAAGAAAAATACTATATTATAAAATATTGAAGCCAAGATTTTTTATCTACAGATTGGCATTGTAACATTATAAGCGAGTTTATTTCAGAAAAATCAAGGCAGTATGCCAATGTCTCAAAGTGCGTATCACAAAATAGGCATACTATATAGACGAAAGGTTATTAAAATTTTAATTAATATAAATTTTAGGGGAAGGGCGCCGGGGTCCCAAATTTTTAACAGGGTTCAAATAAAAAAGAAAAACTCCTACGTAGGAGAAAAAAAACCCCAAAATTAATTTTTTAAAAACCCCCCAAAAACTTTTGGGGAATTTTAATAAGTCCTACGTGGGACTTTTTAAGTCCTAAGTCCTCGTAGACTTTTAAATCCTCGTGGGAAATTTTGTTATTTCCCTACGTGGAAATTTTATAAGCCCAAACGTGGGAAAGAAAAAAAAACCCCCAAATTTAAAGGGGTTTAAAACCCCAAACGTAGGATTTTTTAAACTCCTACGTGGGATTTTTTTAACCCCTTTACGTGGGGATTTTAATAACTCCTACGTGGGATTTTTTTTAACTCCTAGGGTAACTTTTGTAAGT